CTGCCTCAGCCTCCCAAAGTGCTAGGATTACAGGCGTGAGCCACTGTGCCTGGCCAAGCAGCCAATCTTGAAAAGTTGAGAATACATCTAAACACAGTCACTTAGCCCTTGCTCCATTTCACCAGTCCAAGCCATTAGATTATAATAGTTCTCCCCTTGCCCTGCTGCAGTCCATCTTCCACACAGCAGCTACAGCAATCCTTTTATGAAGCAAGTTAGATCACGCCCCTGCTCAATATGCATATCGCTTCCCATTTTACTATGAATGAGGGCCACAATCTTTACAATGGCCTCCTTGGGTCTATGTGATCTGTCTGCACCTCACCTCCTTTTTCCTTTGCCCTCAGTTCCTATCACTCTGCCCCTTGTTCACTCCACTTGTCTCACTGACCTCCTCACTATCCTTGAACAGTGAGTCTACCAAGTATAGTCTGTGATGACTGTTTAATCTTCCAGAAATGTGCTTTCCCCATAGCCTCGAGCTTGTTCCCTCCCCACCTTCAGGTCTCTGTTTAAACACTCCCCTAATGGCCTTTCCTAGTATCCTTCCCCAAATAAATTAATTGCACTCAAATCTCTGCTTCAGACACAGTGTATGGGGAAATTCACACTCAGATAAGAACTTATCTCAGGCAGCAATATAACTCTAGGATCACTCTAGCCAGGGTTGGCATAAGGGACTGGGAAGAATGAAACAGGGAAGAAAAGTATACCAGTAAATGGGGCATTATCAAATTAGTGACCACCTTGGATTTTAAGCTGCTTGGAGTGCACCTCACAATTACCCACTTTGGAGATGGAAAGGAAGATCATTTATCTTTCAGCCCCTTGCCACCATTGGTCATGGATTATTCTCCTGGGCATCATGCCCAACCATACTTCCAAGCTGTACGTGTGTAGGCAGTAAATAGATTTTCCCAAGCGCCCTGGGCAGAAAGCAAGACACAGGTAGGGCAGCTGAGGTGAGGCACTGTCAGACTACACCTAGGCAGAGCTGGCCAACATGGTAAAGTTTTGAGGTATCCAATACAACAACTAATAATGTTCATTGCACTGTTTTTAAAGATGCAAGCAGATAATCTCACTATAAGTGCATCAAACTTACAAGACTGAGCAAGCATCCCTGAATAGACTTTAATGTTGTAATCAAGTAAAGTTTAAAATTGGCCTGAAAGTAAATTTTATATTCTACATAATCATAAATGACCACTGTTCTGTGTGACAGTCAGGCATATATGGTGCACAATAGATAGATGTAAAAATACAGTTACTAGTCAGTTTCCCAACATAATAAAGAATTTTTAAGGCCAAAAAATAAGGCTCAAGAAGAACTGGGAGGCACAGGAGCCAACCCAAGGTTCTATAAGGAGACCCACCCTCACCACCTCCAGGAACACAGCAGCTAGGCCTTTCCTCTTCTTGGAGAAAGGGGTCTATTAGCCCAAAGGTCAGGGCCATATCCTGGGGTTCTGCCCATACCCTTGTTTTAAGGGTCAGCACACCAATGTGCCAGATCATATTTTACTTAAGCCATTCCAGTTCCGTCTCCTCTGAAGCAAGCCCTGTGCTTAATTCTAAAAGGAGCAGAGAGTGCTGACAGTACTGGGAAAAGGAGGACATGGCACTGAAGAAGGAAGGGGTTGTTGTTCTCAGTATATCATGGCAGGAGGAGGGTAAGGATGAGCAATACAAATTATGAGATTTCAGGTGAGCCTCCCGCCCACCAAATAAAACAATTTTACTGAGGCCCCCAAGAAGTCCCATCCAGACTCAGCTCTGGGGAAATGTGTGTCATAAGAAGCCCTGGAGTGCCTCACAAGCCTCATGTGGAAAGTAAGTACAAAGGGTTTTTCCATCACAGGCAATGACAGGAAAATCCATCTGAGTGTTAACTATGCTAACAAAAGAAGTAATTTAAGAAGGAATTTAAGCGTCAAATAAACAGAACAGATGGAAAGCACCTGGGAGCAGAATAGTACGAGATTGATAGGAGACCCACTAGGCCAGCAGTTGACCAATGGTAGTCACAGGCTGGCTCCAGCCCACAGGTGGTTACTATTGTCCCAAGTAGCAATTTTAAATATATTCAAGCCAACATTTACAAATTCGATCTTTACAAAAAGCTCCAGACTTCCATTGATAAATTGAAAAGCCAGTTCCACTAGACTTGCTAGTGACAACAAAAAGCTAGAGCTGAGTAGTGGCTCCCCCTCTTGAAAGTCCCCCACGGGGCATCCCCACCCCACTACTAGTCCCTATAGCTCTTGAACTTTTTTTTTTCCATTAAAGAAAAAAAAATATTTCTTGATTTCTATGTTAAAAATGGGAAAAAAAACAAAAACAAAAAAAACAAAGACATTCTGCTGGTCACTTGATTTTTTTTCTTACATTCAATCTACTTCACATATTTACATGGTCTCTCTGGCCAGTGTATGCATTTGCAGTTGAAACCCTAGACCAGACTGAAAGCCCCATGAAGGTAGATGCTATACCTCTCTTACACACCATTGTATCCCCAGCACCATGCATAGTGTCTGACCCACAGCAGGCACTCAATATTGTTGAGTTATAGACAGAGGGATGACTTACAGCACTTTTTAAAAGGTGGTGGGGAGGGGCCAGGGAGCATCACACAGCTACAAAACTATAAAGTGGGCCTTGGCAAATGAGCAGAATTGGTCTTCAGTATTGGTATACTACTTACAATGTGTTAGGTACTAATCGATACTTAACCAGATATAAGAAAAGATGCATTCTTGACTTTCCCAATCTTTTACACCAACATCTGACCATAGGTTTCTACTTCAGCATTTATTTAGCCTGCAGGTAATAATTACCATCTTAATACTTCTGTTAAATCACTGTTAGATCATTGTCTGTACTTTTCTGTTTGCTTGAAAAAAATATATATTTTTTAGAAGTCTTGTTCATGCTTGACATGACCTTTGTCTTTTATTCTGAGATACAATAAGGCTATTTCTAAAGATGCTTGAAATCTTATTTAGTAGTATAATAAATCATCTACCAATAACCTTCATCTACCCATAGGTACTAAAAAGTGTAATTTCATTACCTGGTTGAAGTTCGTTCCTTTTTCCTTCTTTAGTAGACTGAACTAAACTTGCAGCTAATGGAAAAAGAAAAAAAAATTCCATTAGCAATTGATCTATATGGTGGCTTGTTAAAGCTTACCATTTTATACCTCAAATAGATGAGGGCTCAAAGAGATATGTCAACGGAAGATAAGGGCAGAACACAAAGCATTCTTTTTTGTAGGTATACCCTCCATATTCTTTATTTCAAACTTAACTTGTCAAGAACATTTCTTTCTCAGAAAATCATTGTTATAGAATAATACTGAAAAAATCTAATACTTTGAAACTCTTAAAAGATGTAGTTCAGTTCTTGACATGTAGCAGTAAGAGCTCAACTTACCAAGCAAAGTTCTTTCACTGTTGACAGAGCAACTGAAAACTTGCAAGTCTTTCTCAAAGGTATACAGAAGCTATTAAAACAAAAGTATTTTTTAGTTTGAAGTTTCATACATTAAACAACAATTATATGAACATAAATTCCCATTAAGCTCTGTGCTAAGTATTACTGGGGTAAAATATTTCAGTAAAGAATGAAACTAATTTAGCTACGCTGACACATTCCAGACTACTCTTTACCAAAAAAAAAGTTTGCTATTGTAAGCCATGTTTGGCACTGATATTTAGCCATGAGACAACCATGTATAGTGGTTAAGAGCATAGACGTTGGAGCCCAGCAAGAACCAGGTTCAAATCCTGACTCTCACTTGCTAGCTGTGTGACCTTAGATAAATTATTCAGCTTCTCTATCCCGCCATCAGTAAAACACATCTACTCTAGGATTGTTAGGAGGATCAAGTGAGATAATCTCTATGAAGCACTTAGTGCAATAAGCACTCAAATGTTAGCTATTGTAATTACTGAGGTAATTAATTACAAAATAATCATTAGTTTTCTTAGCCACTGTCACAAGTGCATCTCCCATAGGCCTTTCATATTTAGAGGACCGGGAAGGTAGTCTTCTTTAATTTTTTTTCCTTGTTGTTGTTTAAAATGTTCAAAATGTTGCAAGATTCCATTTTCTTGAATATTAAAGAAAATGAAAATGCCCATGTAGGAGGATGTGATGTGGAGACTGAGGAACTAGAGAACACCAGTTCTATTAGGCAGGCTGTCTTAAAGAACACCCAGAGGATAAGGGAAAGAGACAGTCTTAGATCTCAGAAGACAACAGCCTAAGAGAAACAGTAAATAGTATAAGTATTAAGAAGGTTACTAGTACCTGCACCCTAAAAAAGTATCGAGAACACACAAGACCCCTATAGCTAGAAGTCGATCGGAAAAGCTAGCAATGCTAGGGGACAACTGATTACGGAAAGTGAACTTCCAGTTAATCAGGTACTGAATTCATGTGAGAATTTTTGGTTTCCTTTGACTCTTGCTCTAACTGAGGAATTCTAAATTATTACTAAGAAGAATCTAATTCTAAATTATTACTAAGAAGAATGGGTACATACACATAATTTTTAATGTGCTATCTTTTAATTACAAAGATAACATAAGTATAGTCTCAATGTTTAAAAGATGGAAATGCTATCAAATAAAATGTCAAAGCCAGCCTGGACAACATGACAAAATCCTATCTCTAAAAAAGTTTTTTTTAAAATATGTCAGGCATGGTGGTATGCCTATAGTCCTAGCTACTTGGGAGGCTGAGATAGGAGGATCACTTGAGCCCAGGAGGTCAAGACTGCTATGAGCCATGATTGTGTCACTGCACTCCAGCCCAAGTGACAGAGGGAGACCCTGTCTCAAACAAAAATAAAAGGTCAAAAGAAATAGCAGTCCTTCACACTCAGCCAATCCCAACTCTCTTCCAAAAGGAAGCACGTTTATAAATTGTCTATATTTATGCATTTATATTACACAGTTACATTGCAAGTTTTTAAAAAACATAAATGGAATGTATTAAATGTATTATTCGGACAACTTGCTTTTTTCATGTAACAACATGTTTTGGAGAGCCTTCTGTACCAGTACAGAAGTCTTAATCTTTTAATAGCTGTATCAATTTCCAAAGCTTACTGATGGGCATTTAGTATGCCTCCTACATTTAGGTAATATAATAATCCAATGAACCTTTTACATAAACCTGTGTGAATCTGTGCAGATATTTCTGTAGAATCAAAACCTCAAAGTGGAATTTCTAGGTCAACAGGTGTGCAAGTATCAGAAGTCTTTAACTCCAAGCATCAAAAAATCTTCCCCAATCTAGCTTAGGCAAAAAGACAATTAGTGGCTCATGAAATTGAACAGAATGGGGTGTTACTTCAGTATTGGCTTGATCTAGAGCTGGAAATACCCATTCTCCTAGCTTTCTGGGTTCAATACATTTGTCAGTCTTCACACAATAGAGCTCCAAGTTCTATTCCCCAAAGTCACAGCAATTCCAACCCAGTGAATTCACTTATCACCAAATCCAATGGAAAAGAGAAGAATCCATGTCCCAAATTCCCAGCAAAGTATTATCTTTTATCCAACCAGTTTAGGTCATGTTCACTCCTGTATGCACTACCAGGGAAGTCCTACATGACAGAAGGTGGGAGAAAGAGGTGGAAGAGGGTGAGGAAGGAAAGCTATTGGCACTGTGCTTATGCTTATCCCATTACTTATGCTAATGGGAAGCATAAGTAATACATTGCTTCTCTTTTGTCGATTCCAGGGTAAGACCATTAACTCAAAACTAGAGGTGGGGCGGGGCAAAGTGCAGTCAACCCACTTATCCCTATTGCTCCCACCAAGTACAGTTTTAAAACCCTGGACATATATTTTTTTAAGTTTCAAAGATGACTCTGAAATGCAGAAAGAAGGCAGCAGACTCTTTAGGGACCCCAGATCCTGATGAATGACATAGTGGCGAGTTCCCTGGGTTTTCCTTTTGTGTCATACAGACTAGACTCGGAGCTAAAGGGGTGAAAACAACAGAAATACTGATGGGAGCAGACAAAAGCAAACACACATCCATGCTCTCTAGCCAAAGGAATTGGAAAGGGGAAACATAGCAAGAGAGAAACTTTTTACTATAACCACCCTAACTCCAGCTAAACACCACGAAAGAAAATGAAACCCCACTCCCATCTCTATTAGCAAAGTCTGCATGGGGAGCTTAGACTCCCACCTTTGCCCAGCTATAACAAGGCACCCTTCCCCCTTCTGCAAGATGAGTATCAAAGAAGACCAAAAAGGAAATCAGAACTTTCATCCATTCCCAGTGGTAAATAAGCCTTTCCCCACTAAAAGTGCCAGCAAAGCCACATGGATCCTGGACTCCCACCCAGACTCCAGTAGTAAAGAAGTCCCTTTCTACCTCCTCACTGGGATGGTGTCTGAGGTGGCTGAATGGGAAGCCAGAACTTTCACTACCACCCAGTGATAATGAGGCCTTCACCTACCTTTCCCCCATCCTGCTCCTCTGCAGTGGTATCAGTGGAGGCCAAGTGGGGAGACTGAAATCCCATTTCTATCTGGCCATAGCAAGACACTTCTCTCCACTAGGGTATCCAAGTAGGCCAAGTGGGGAACCTGGACCTTCGCCCGGCACAACCTAGCAATAGTAGGTTGTACCACCAACCCCACTAATTCCCCAACAGGTAAATTATCAGAGGAGGCATGCTAAAGAGAAGACTTAAATAAGATCCAGAGTTTCATAATGTAGTCCTCGAAATGCTTAGCATACAATAGAAAATCTCATGTCATACCAAGAACCAGGAAAATCTCAAACTGAATGAGAAAATAATAGGCACAAGCACTGAGATAACAAAGATATTGGGATTTTCTGACAAAGATTTTAAAAATGGTCATAAAAATGCTTCAATAAGTAATAACAAGTATGCTCGAAACAAATGAAAAAAGTCTTAGCAAGAAATGGAATATGTAAAGAAAAATACAAATGGAAATTTCACAGCTGAAAAATACAATTACCAATTTTTTTTTTAACAAAACCTCCATGGGTAGGCTCAACAACATAGTGGAGAGGACATAAGAATCAGTGAACTTGAAAACAATAGAAGTTACCTAATTTAAATGATAGACAGAAAACCAAAAAATAAAAGAAACAGAACCTCAGAGATCCATGAGACTATAACAAAAGATCTACCATTCTTGTAATCAGAGTCCACAAAAAGTGAAGAGAAACAGATTGGAACATTAAGAAAAAATATTTGAAGAAATATTGGCTAATGACTAAAAATGTCCCAAATTTGGCAAGAAACTACAGATTCAATAAGTGGAGTGAACCCCAAACAGGGAAAATCCAAACAAATCCATACCAAGACACAGCATAATCAAACTTCAGAAAACTAAGGAGAAAGAAAAAATTTTTTTCAAAAACGGCAAAGAAAAAAAGTGACATCTAATGGGGGGAAAAAATTCAAAAGACAGCAGATTTCTCATGAGAAACCAGAGAACCCAGAAGGAAATGGCACGTTTTTCAAGAGAGGAACAAAAAGAACTATGAATCCTGAATTCCATACTTGGCAAAATTATCCTTCAGTAATGAAAGGAAAAAAAAGACATTCTCAGATGAAGAAAACTATGAGAACTTGTCATCAGCATACTTACCCTAAAAAAAATGGCTAAAAAAAGTTCTTGAAAGAGAAAAGAAATGATAAAAGGAATGTTAGAACATCAGAAAGAACCATGGAAAGAGCAAATATACAGGTAAACACAATAGACTTTCCTTCTCCTCTTGTGTTTTCTAAATTATGTTTGACAATTGGGGCAAAAAGTATAACATTGCCTGATGTGGATCTTAAAGAATGTATAGGAAATATCAAAGACAAAAACACGGGAAGGCAAAGAGACTTAAAAGGAGATAAGAGTTCTACACTTCATTTGAACTGGTAAAATTTCAACACCAATAGATCTTGTGGTGACGGAATAACTCTTTCTTGATTGCAGTGATAATTACAGGAATCTACACAAGTGATGAAATGTCATAGGACTATATGCACACATTCTGCTGACAATAATTTATTGGTTTTAATATATTATCCTATAGTTACACAAGATGTAACAATTGAGAGAAACTGAGTGAAGAGTACACAGGACATTGCTGTACTTGTTTTTCAAATTTAAAAACTAAAAACTTTTAGAGAAGGATGGGTAAGCATTAAGACTGAGAAACCATTATCCCATCCTGAAGCTTAATTACCAAGAGAAAGATTTTTTTTTCCTCTTGATGGCACCATCTTTCTCACGGTGGCACCTTTGCAAGGAAAAATATAGTGCTTGAAAAGAATTTTAGGCTGGGTGTGGTGGCTCACACCGTAATCTCAGCACTTTGGAGGCTGAGGCAGGCAGATCACGAGCTCAGCACTTTGGAGGCTGAGGCAGGCAGATCACTGGCCAACATGGTGAAACCCTATCTCTACTAAAACAACAACAACAACAACAAAAATTAGCTGGGCGTGGTGGCACACACCTGTAGTTCCAGCTACTTGGGAGTCTGGGGCAGGAAAATTGCTTGAACCCCGGAGGCGGAGGTTACAGTGAGCTGAGATGGCACTACTGCACTCCAGCCTGGCAACAGAGACTCCATCTCAAAAAAAAAAAAAAAAAAAAGAATTTTAAAGCCCATCTAGATTTGGCATATAAATCCATTCCTTCAATAAAACCATCGAAAGGTCAGTCAAAAACACATATGGGCTGTAAGGGTTGTGCTTATGTGGAGAAGAGATGGGAGAAGGGGAGGGTTTGTTTAGCAACTATGGTTCAGAAGCAAAATTTGCCTGTTTACAAAGCTAGTTTAAATTTCCTATTAATGTATCCTTTGGCCAATTTATTTTCTGGACTAATTTTCACATTTTGGAATTCAAAGCAGCTTTGTCACCGGAAAATTTTTGAAAAACAGCCACTCTGGAGGGAACCTATTACTATCAATCCATTGAAAAATATTCACTGCACCCCTACCACTCACAGGCAGTAAGCTAAAGGTAACCGGGATGAAACACATTGGTATGCAAAGTGCTCCTACTGTCAGTGCTCACAGTCTTGGGAAATGTGAGCAGAATATGACCACAAAAGATAACAGCAATCACCACAACTGGATTGAGAGAAGACAGACTATGGTGTCTCCTCTCAATTCATTTTTTTAGAATACATGCCACACAGAAATTAAGCAACAATTGCACTGAAAACTTGATATTTTATTCTCTTTCCCTAGACTGCGTATTGTGAAAGACTTTACGTTGATCATCACTGTGTCTCCAGCACCTGACAGGGAAAACACTCAATGTTTATTTGTCGGATCAGTGAATGAGTGAGTGAATGAATGAATGAATGAATGTGAAAGGGGTGGAAGAAGGAAGAGAGAATTAACCAAGCAGCATATTGGAACCCTGAAGAGTAAGGCGACCTGTAAGAAATTTCTAACGGATAAAGGACATTTAAGTTAAAAAATGTCCAATATTCAATTCTAAATTGTTTTTACATAGGCACAAAATTACTCCCTCTCATTTGCTCCCAGAATTAGACAAAGTTGCCTGTCACATCAACCAATGCCTTATGTGAGTAATCTGGGGAAAAAAATAAGGAAAGGGGTTCCTTGTCTGAATCATTAAGAAATAATGAGAAACAAGACACGTGAAGGTTAAGCAGAAGCAGAAAGAGTCAGAGGTCATTATGCGATGATGTGGAAGTACACAAATCTCAAGGAGGACACTGGACCTCCTACTTTCTTACAGGATACTGAATAATTTGTTTGAGCCAATTTTACTTAAATCTCAAAGGTCTAAGAGACTTCACCTTACTATTTGGTTCAATAGTCCTTGTGTTTTTTGTTTAAGATAATAGGACCAAGAGATCATTAAGGGATAAGAGAAGGAAAGCAAAGAAATACAAATTTTTAGAAAATAAAGCTGGTATTCCCACTCCTAGATATGCATACAAAAGAATTTTAAAATAGCCACGTATACAATAGTGTTCATAATAGATAAATGTTAGAAACAGGTGCCCATCAACAAATAAAAGAATAAAACTGTTACATATACTGTGATAACTGATTGCATGAATTGGTGTTATTCTGTCATACTCAATTGAGTTAAATCAAGAGATCAGGAGAGGAAAAGAGAAGCACACGGGGCACAAGTGCCCGGCCAGTGTCTTGCAAGCCAGCTGCCAAAATGACCAAATGCCATAAACTTAAGAATAGCTTCACCTAGTAGCTACTGAAACAAACTGCCATGGCTCTGAAACTAGTTTTACCTACTGCTTTCACACACCAGTGAGATCTTGCCAGCTCCTAGAAACTTTCCTATTGCCAGTGAGTTTTCTTTCAAAGCCATATGTAACATTTCTCTTTCTGATAAAAACCCCCAAACTTTCTTAGTTCTTTGGACATACCAAAGACCACCCTGGCCTGTGTGCATGTCTTAAATTGCAATTCTGTTTTTTCAAATAAAATGTTTAGAGAAAAAAGAAAATAAAGTTGGAATTTATGTCTAGAAAAAGGAGACAAAGAAGAAAACTCTAAAGGCAGTAAAGTAACCAATGAGTAATCTATGATTTATGGTGATTTTTACCTCATTTTGTCTGGTTTGACAATCATATAATCCAAAGATGACATTTCCCTTATCATCCTAAAAAAAAATTAAACAGATGTTTATTAAATGTCATTGTTTAGGAAGTTAGAATGTTACTAGTTTTAAAACCAACCTGCAATAACTCAATCTTAGCAGTAAGTAATTTAAAAGAAGCTTTCTGTGCCTGTCAGAGGGGGACTGAATCCAGTTTAGCTAGTCATTTGGGCTCAAAGAATGAAATGCATCAATAGTGTAGAGCTCAGTGAATTTGGGGAACTGTCTAGTAGGACTGAGCATGGTGAAGGAGTAAATCTTTTTATACTTCCACTTATGTCTTTGAAAATATACACATATGATAGATAATAGGGATGCCTAGGACAAGTCCATAGCATTCTTATAAGTAAAACATTGTGAATCACACAATTCCTTAAAGGTACCATTCTAAGACACAACTTACAATAATTATTTTTACTTAAAAAAGTACAGTGATGTAACTGTGCAAAGCAAACTGGCCACTTGAATTATTCATGTGTGCTTATTATAGTAAAGCTAAATTTTCCTTAGAACACTTGACATTGAAAACACATTGTTAAATAACAATGCTGCACATGCCTGTAGTCCTAGCTACTGGGGAGGTTGAGGCAGGAGCTCAAGGAACCTACTTGAGCCCATGAGTTTGAGGCTGCAGTGAGCTATGATTATGCCACTACATCCCAGCCTGGGTGACAGGGTAAGACCCTGTTTCTAAAAACAAAATAATAACAATGCTTCAAAAGTCAAGTCCTAACATATCTACGTCTGAAGAGACTAATCATATTTAATATTTTCTCCAATGATAAAATGTTAACATATTAATTAGGTTTAAACATTTTTACTTGGCATTTTTTGTCTAGAAAATGAAATTGTTCATTGATTCAAAATTTGAGTTATTATGTCAGATATGCCCATTTAGTTTTATTTTAAAATGAAGAAACATTTAATACTAATTTTTTTTTTTTTTTTTTTTTTTGAGACAGGATCTCGCTCTGTCACCGAGGCTGGAGTGCAATGGCACAATCTCAGCTGACTGCAACCTCCACCTCCTGGGTTCAAGTGATTCTCCTGCCTCAGCCTCCTGAGTAACTGGAACTACAGGTGTGTGCCACCACGCCCAGCTCATTTTTGTATTTTTTTGGTAGAAACAGGGTTTTGCCATGTTGGCAAGGCTGGTCTCAAACTCGTGACCTCAAGTGATCTGCCCGCTGCAGCCTTCCAAAGTGCTAGAATTATAATGTGAGCCACCATGCCCAACCTTATACTACTAAATTTCAATCACTATATTCAATCTCACACACACAAAGCCATAAGATTAAATGCCAACAAGTTTATTCATTACCCCTCAATAAGATACAGTATAGAATTCTGTAAAAAGAGAATATAAATGATTAAAAACAGTATATTTTACATCTTACCACAATAAAAAAGAATATAGACATACCTTATATGTATAAATAATATTTCCATTTCTTTCAACATTTAATACACGTAAGCTCTCATAATCGTTTTCTAAAACATCTGAAATGATAATAGCAGGTTAATACTCAGCAGAAGATGGTTAGAAACATATCTAACCAATATATTAGTAAAGGAAACCAAATATAAATATATACTAATAATTCTATTATATAAAACTTAAAAACAGGCGAAACGAATCTCTTTTATTAGAAGTCCAAACAGTAGTGACCTTTAAGGAAGGAGAAAGCCATAGTTATTGAGAGGTATCTCAAGTGAGCCTTGTTAGGTGTTGGTAATGTTAAATGTCTTGGGTATACTGATGTACTCTATGATAACTCACTGAGCTGTTTGCTCTTTTCTGTGTGAATGTTATACAATAAATTTCAAGTATCTGTTAGTTTTTGCTTTATGCATTTTGAGGATACATCATTAAGGGCATACAAATTTAGAATTGTTATAGCCTCCTGGTGGATTAACCACTGTTAGGCTCTAAGCTGAGCTGCCAGCTGTCTGAGTACTCAATTAAAACAAGATTAAAAAGTTAATATTAACTTTTTAACAGTCAAGCTTTTAATCACTTACTGTGATGCTATAAAGCAAGAGGCTAAACAAGAGAAAGTGCTAATGTCCCTGGTCTATTTTCTCCCCATGGAATGGTGCCGTTAGCCAAGGGTCAAGTGAATCAGCACAGATATGGAGCTCTCTTCACTATCGAGGGACCCTCCCAAAAAGGTTCCTGCAGTATCATGGATCCAGGTGCCAAGGGTAGGGAGAGGGAGAAGAGCTAGGAGTGGAAAAATATTTCACTGGAGTAGAGAAAAAGCAGTCTCCAAAGCTCCCCTCTTCCACCTGCTAAGGTGGTTTTAGTGGTTTAGAGGCACCTGAGAAAGTTCTCTGCTAAAGGCCTCTGATAAAGAGGCCTCTAAATGAAGAACCTGGGCTAGGAATGCAGCTATCTGTAACAGTATGGCTGGCCAGCGGGGCCTGAATCACACCCATAACTCATTTCAGGGACTACAGTGCATTGGCCACACACCGAGTCGGATTTGAGGAGGGCAGCTTTCTCCCGTAAGGCCTGTCAGATAAAGTCTTTGTAACTGCACATGGTTGGGTCTGAAAAATTACACATAAATTTTTAAAATAGGAGCTGGATTAGCAACCCTTTATTCATTATACAACGTCCTTTATTTCTAATAATTATTTTTACTTTAAGGTCTACTTTGTCTGATATTAATATAACTACATCAGCTTGGTTAGTGCTTGGATAACTTTCTGTTATTAATATTCCTGTGTCCTTATATTGAAGATATGTTTTATAAGCAGTATCTACTTGGGATTTTTTCCTCTAATCTGACGTTCTTAATCTTCTAATTGGGGTATGTAGTCCATTTACATCTAATGTAATTACTAACATATTGGGTTGATATTTGTCATATTACTATTTGTTTTCTATGTGTCTCACCTGTTGTACTACTCTTCTGGACTAAGTTTATGATTTCATTCTATTACCTATTAACTTGTCAGTTACATGTTTTTGCTATTCTTTTATTAGTTATACTAAAAGTTATAACATGCATCCTTGACTTATGTTTTAGTATTACGTGATGCAAAAAAAAATCTGAAGCAACTGAAACTCTCATACATTGTTAATAGGAGTATAAATTGGAAAACTGGCAGTACCTAGTGAATCCGAACACATGACTCAGCAACTACACTTGTACATATATCCTCAAAAGAAATATATACATATATTTAGCAAGGGACACATAAGAATGTCTATAGTACTGTGGTACATTATTGCCCAAACCAGAAACCCAAACTATCCATTAAGTGAAGAATGAATAAATTGTGTTATATCCAAACAATAGCACAAAACAATGAATTAACATTCTGCAATAACACATATAAAACTGAGCAAAAGAACCTTCCCCACCACCAAAAGAAGGTACAAATTGTATGTTTCAATTCATACACAAGTTTTCGATAATAGGCACAACTAATCTACAGTGTTAGATAAGTGACTACTAGAAAGGACCATGAAGGACTTCTGAGGTTCTGTTAATGTTTTCCTTGCTGTTCTGAGTCCTAGTTGCATGAGTGTGCTTCACTTTGTGAAAATTAACTAAGCTGTGAACTTATAACTTGTGTCCTTCTCTATATGAAAGCCATATTTTGCGGAAGGACATACAGACTCTTTACACAAAACATTTAACTTATAAGTTAACTGACCATCTTTCTTCTAAAATTTTAGGATATTTCTCCTAATTCTACAGTTAAAGGATTTAAACATTGGTAGAGTCAGCATTGTAATTATCACTAATTGGGCAGAAGTGTGTATTTTTCCAATTTCCTCAAAAGTTATCCATAATTATGGCCAGGCACAGTGGCTCATGCCTGTAATCCCAGCACTTTGGAAGGCTGAAGCAGACGGATCACTTGAGGCCAGGAATTCAAGACCAGCCTAGTCAACGTGGTGAAATCCAATCTCTACTAAAAAATACAAAAAATTAGCTGGGCATGGTGGTGCACACCTGTAATCCCAGCTACTCAGGATGCTGAGACAGGAGAATCATCTGAACCCAGAAGGTGGAGGTTGCAATGAGCTGGGATCGAGCCATTGCACTTCAGAGCAAGACTCTGTCTCAATAAATAAATAAATAAACACATAAATACATAAATAAATAAATAAAATTGCTTAAATTTGACTCGTTTTTACATTAATTATGACAAATTCTAATATTAAGACAAAACATATGCAAAATACCTGTAACTCAGCAAATTTCTATCTATATTCCTAAAAGGAAAAGACAAGATAAAAAATAAGGATAATTGGTGAGCTGGATACCGGCACTGGAGCTGGACGTGGGAAACATTTAGAGAGAGGAAGAGCAGGTTTCACTGAGAACTTAGACATCATCCTGAGATCTCTCTTCCCTTCCCCTCACAAGCAGCAGCTTTGTGCATCTCCTAGGGGCAGGGCAAAAGGATAGGGCAAAGTGTTTTCTACACATGGGTATAAACGTTTGTCAGTATATTGACATGTATATTGAGATGTCAGACTCACTTCACACCGAAGGATAATAAGGATAATAATTTGGTCTCTTAGGGGACTAGGATTTAAATAATCAGTTTATGGGCCGAGCATGACGACTCATGCTTGTAATCTCAGCACTTTGGGAGGCCAAGGTGGGAGGATGGCTTGAGCTCAGGAGTTCAAGACCAACCTGGGCAACATAGCAAAACCCCGTCTCTTAATAATAATAATAATAATAATAATAATAATAATGCTTATGGCTAAGTAGCCCTTCACAATTTAGAGAGTTCTCATTTCTATCTCATCTGCACTGTACAAGGTATTCCAGGCCTACTACACTTTTCAATGAGATAATGATACTTGACCCATATACAGTGAAAAGGTGGCATAGACTGAACTCAAACCTAAAAAAAGGTAAACAGAACAATGAGCTGAGTGTTCTATCAAGCTTACAATGAGAAAATGGGTAATTACTCAAAAGTCCTTTGAAAGGTAGATACTGTAGACATCTAAAGAGAACTTCAGTGAGTTCTTTTTCATCCTGTACATGACTCCAAACTTCTGGAATGCAATGTGTCAATATTTTGAGAAGTATTTTTTTTCTTTCAAGATTATAAGTATGCTGGGAGAGACCGTCTCAAAAGTACACTTAAAAGGTTTCAGCTAAGATAAGAAACTTCTTTACAAGAAATCTTGCTAAATCCAATTTACTTGCAAAGGCATATCTATTTTCAGATTACTATAACATTAAGAGGAAAAAATTCTCCAACAAACGCAGATTACAATAAATGACACATGCTTATCCCATTAAACTAGTGGTTCTCAACTCTGGCTGTCTTAAAATCACTGGGGAGCTTTTAAAAGAACACTGATGCCCCAAGCCATACCCAGGACAGTCTGATTTTATTGAGCTGGTGTGGAGCCCACTCTCTGATGTATGTGTATGTGTTTTAGGTTCCCTGGGTGATTCTAACGGGCAGCCAGGGTTAAGAACCACTGAACTACAAATGTACATTACATATTAAGCAGTATTCGTTAGAGGGCATAACTTGGACCATCTTATAACCATGACAGACAGAGAGTTGAAAGAAATAAAAATAATGTTGTCATGGGAGCATTAGGTAATAACTGCAGGGCTGAATAACCCTGCAGTTAAGTACATGGTTCACATTTCAAGGACATTTGAAACAGACAAATTTGGTAATGTTGCAAATCCAGAGACCAGTGTCTCACCACATACTATTAAGCCATCAGCTCTTCCTCCCTGGACTAGTTGCCCATGTCTTAACACACCCTTTTGAAAGAAGTATTCAGTAACCTCTTTGCTTATTCATTCTGACTCTTCTCCCAGTAGTACATCACTGGAAAGTCCAGAGGAAGAAGTTTTGCAATTTCAAATGAGGAAATGTGGTTTAATTTCACAGTTTAGTGTACTCAGTGCTCATGAAGAAAACAATGTAGCATTTTGATAGATACTTGCATAGGTAAACCTATAAAAGAAAGGAGAGTACCTAGATATTGAAGGTATTGGCAAGGCATAGCTCTTGTAAAACAAAAGCTGGTTGGCCAGATATTCTCATTAGTTTCAATCTATTCTTTGTCAAACAAAAGTGATTTCACTTTACAGGAAGAGGGTTTGTCAAATGTGTACGTTTTATCCCAAACTGCTATGAGACAAAAATCAAAGTATTTGTCTTTCCAGTAACCATACTTAAGGAAAAAAATGTCATACAGCCTCATACAAAATTTTGAACTAGTTCCTAATACATACATCAAGAGGTGATAAAATATGATTATACCTATAACATTATTATTCTGTAAATAATTCATATAAATCCTCAGGCTCAAGATGACCAGTTATTACAATTCCTAAACCTATGCAGTAAACATCATGTGATTTATATTTCATATTCTGAGTAAAATGAAGTTAAGAGAGAAATGAAAATTAGAAAAGGAGACCAGGAAAGAATTAGCAGAAATAAAAGTAAAAAGGACAGATAGTGGCAAGAAAATAGTTTAAAAAAAAAAAAAAAGTGAAAACAATGTGACTAAGGTAACCTTCTGGCCCCCAAATCAATCTAGGAATATATAGGAGGCAACATAAAAAAAGTACTATTCTTGAATCAGTCACTTGGTAAAATATACCACTTCCCTGGCAAAGATTACAATATTTGAAAGACAAGTCAATCTGGTGTTTCATAAATCCAAGACTAATAAAAGCAGGCAAGAAAATCTACATCCTTTCCAGTCTTCAATATTGACATTTAAATGTTAGAAAACTTATATATTGTGGATCTTATTTTCTTGAAGATGTGATCAATCCCAACAAGGGATTGAGCACTGGATGCAAAAATCAACATGTAAGATCTGTTACAGTGCTGTATACCAGCAATAGTTACAACATGCCATGTTTTTAAGTGTGCTAGTTATGAGAGCAACAAAAAATAACCTAGGATGAAATCTAGCAAAACATGTGCAGAACCTTCATGGAGAAAATTCTAAGACTTATTAAGAGTCATTTAAAAAGATCTAAATAAATAATGAGCTATACTTTATTCATAGTTAGGAAGATCCAATATCGTAAAGATGCCAATTCTCCCCAAGCTGATCTATAGAGGCAATGTGACTAAAGGAAATCCAAATCAACTCTTTTGTGAAATTTGACAGGCAGATTCAAAAAAATATATATGAAAAAGCAAAGGGCATACAACAGCTAAGACATGAAGAATACTAAGGTGAGGGGAGTTACCCTACCAGTTCTCAATACTTATCATATAGCATAGTTATTAAGATGTTGGCATGGCCTGGCATGGTGGCTCACGCCTGTAATCCCAGCACTTTGGGAGGCCGAGGCGGGCAGATCACTTGAGGTCAGGAGTTTAAGATCAGCCTGGCCAATATGGTGAAACTCTGTCTCTACCAAAAATACAAAAATTTGCTGGGAGTAGCAGCGCATGCCTGTAATCCCAGCTACTTGGGGGGTTGAGGCAGGAGAATTGCTTGAACCTGGGAGGCGGAGGTTGCAGTGAGCTGAGATCGTGCCACTGCACTCCAGCTTGGCGACAGAGCCAGACTCTCAAAAAAAAAAAAAAAAAAAAAAGTTATCAAGTTGAGATAATGGAACAAAATAAACTCAGAAAAGGAGACCTACATAAGGCAGCTTGATGTGACAGAAGGGGCTTTTTTGTGAGAACTAAAAGGACTATTTGGTTGATAATATTGAAACAATTAGCTATTAATATTTTTTTAATTGGACTCCTACATATCACATAAAAATAAATTCTAGGTGGATTAAAATCAAAAATGTAAAAAAGTCATAAAGCTTCTAAAAGTTAATATTAAAAATGTCTTCACGACTTCAAAACAGGGAGGACTTAAGAGATCCTAAAAGGTACAAACTATAAAGAAAAACTCCTAATTTAGACTACATTAAAATTAAGAACTCCTGTTTATCAAAGGCACCATCACAAACTGAAACAAAAGTGATAGATTGAGAGAAAAATATCTGCAACATATGTGATAAACAAAGAACTAGAATCCCAAAAACATAACTCCTAAAACAATCAATTAAAAAAAATAGGAAAGTGGACAAAAGGATGAATAGACATTTCACAGGCGGAGAAATTCAAATAGCCAGTAAATACATAGAGATGCTCAACCACGGAGCACAATGAAACAATTAGTCCTACCAGTTTGACAAAAAAAAAATTTTTTAATCCTGAACTGTCAAGGGCTTGTGAGGATAGTATCAGAAACATTTCCACACCACAAATTGGAGTGTTAATAAGTACAACACTTTGGAAAACAATTTGGCACCGCCCAGGAAAGATGAAGATGTGCACAGCCTATAACTCAGCAATTCCGCTTTTAGATATACATTCTAGAGAAACCTACGCCTGTGTACACCAGGTGGTAAGAGTACTGACCATATAGCAAACCCCAGAAACCCCCCAAAAGCCACCCACTGGAAAAATAAGTTGGGTTCCCTAGGAAGCACTCTGAGACAGAGTTTACTACCCAGTATATTCATCAGGGAGTGCTCAGGAAAGTGGGATTAACACCCATAAGAGGAAGGAGAAGGAAGCAAGTCCTGGTAGGGTGAGAAGTCCAGCAGCAATGCAGGCCCAATATCCTCAGGTGACCTTGGGCCTACCACAGAGGAAGCTTCAGAACCGAAATGGAGTTGTCCCATGTTCAATCAAAATGGCCAGGCCTTTAAAGCCCACTCAATCTCATGTGGTCCATACCCAAAAGGAAGTGAAGTTGGGTAGGGCAGCCCTCTTGCCAGGCAATCCCTGAAGGGGCTGACAGTTGAAGACCGCCTGCTGACTATACTCACAGCATCTGGGACAAACTCTTCTTTGAAAGGAAAATCTAAGGGGCGCATCTCCATGTCCACCATCATGTTGAATTCACACGATGGAACACTATATGGCATTAATTAATACAAATTAATAACTTGCAGCTAGCCAGTCAATATGAGTACATCTCACAATATTGAGAAGGAAAATAAGCAAAAGGAATACATACAGTATGCTTTAAAGTTCACAGGCAAGCAAAATGAAATATTTTGCCGAGGGAGATATACATATGGGCTAAACTACAAAGTCAAAGTAATGTTAAAATATAAAAATTTAAATGGTTGCTAACCTAGGAGGTGAGGATGAGAGAAAGAAAGAGAATCAGAAAGGAGCACATAAGAGCCTTCAAGAATCTTGACATTGCTGTATTTTTAAGCTGGGTAGTGGGTACATGGTTTTGCTTTGGTTTTTTATTATTTACAGCTACATGTTAAAATATTCTTTTATGCAGCTGTTTTGATTTTTAACAAATATCTTCTTTTATTTCAGGAGAAACCATTTTCTCAAAAGTTCAACCCAGAACCAGGAGCAAACGCAGTAACCAAATCTGGTCTCTTTCCTCCTTGACCCCTTTTTGACCAAAATGCTATCTTATAGGCACAGAATTTCCATGGCTGACTTAGCCCAGCTCTCTGTTTTGTCAGGAATATGTCATACATATTTCCTGAGAATTACTTAGCACCTCTAAGAAAACTTCAATTGTATTTGTTGATGTAAAAATATTAAGGCTTCAAATTTAGAAAGCAACTGTGCATAGAGGAGGCATTACAATGGTACAATTATTCATAATTTACATTTGAAAAGCTGGAACTTTGAAAGGATAATGATTTGCACAAATGTATGTAGTAACTGCTGTGCTAGAAATGAGACAGAATCTCAGATTTCCCTGCCACTGCTATAAATTACAGAACAGGAATTAATTTGTGTGGGGGTATTTTTGAGCTACTACCTACTGGTGATTATCAGAGGTGATAATTATCTTAGTATAACAGGGCTAATATCTTGCCAAGATATTTGCTCTGAAAGAGCAAAATACTACCAGTATCAGAAAAGCTAGTATTTTCAGAAAGTACCTTCTGAGGACCTAGAGCTATCTGTTGTTTAGTGGAAGGTCAATACACAAGTTTATATTTCTTCAGAGATGAGCGAAAGATACAAGGAAGCCAGGTCCAAGTGGATCACACACAGCTTTTCAAGCGCAACACACATTACTGAAACGTAAGACTGTGGCATTTCACACTTCATCTACCTTCTCATTTGCAGACACCTGCCATTTAGCAAAATAAAGTGGGAGTCCAGAAAAAGGAGTCCTTCGTGGTAAAAGACAGAGCTGCCTGTTGTATTTCAAAAAGTTAAGCCTTCAAAAACTTTTCAGACATTTGGGCGACTTTTTTTTTTTTGAGATGGAGACTTAACTGTTGCCCAGGCTGGAGTGCAGTGGCGCGATCTCGGCTCACTGTAACGTCTGCCTCTCAGGTTCAAGCGATTCTTCCGCCTCAGCCCTCCCGAGTAGCCGGGATTACAGGCGCGTGCCACCACGCCCAGCTAATTTTTGTATAAAATTCTTCTCTGACCACCCTCCCCACCTCGAAAAAAAGTAAAGCCTTACTAATCATGACACTAATGCAAACTCAACGCATACGCTACACAAACATATAACTCCTTATTTGGAACTAATAATATTCCAAGCTAAGGAAACCTACAAATAATTCCGCTATAGTCACAGGAGAGTGTGAAGATACAAGATAGCAACGTTGGATATGTAACTTACATCAATAAAAATTTCACCAGCGTTTAGGGATAGGAGTTGTATATGTGGGTCATTTAATAACCACTTCCGAAAAACCCACTTCCAAATTTACCGAAGTGGACAACGCCCTACACGCAAGGTGAGACCCACAGGCATCGCTGCTTTGAAGCTGCATGTAAGCTCTGAAGCTCCAACATTTACAGAAGACTTTAAAAACTTTGTGAGAAATCACAACGTTCTCCTTCTTTAAAGTAGATCAGTGCTGGGAAGGCTCAAAAGTCACTTTCACTCCCTTACCGAATCATCAAAAAGCCCCGAGGTGGCTGGACCGGGAGTCGAGCATCTCGCGCGCAGCCCCAGCCTGCACAGGTGCGGAGCTCGGGGGCGCCTGGGGGCTCTCGCTCCGCAGCCCGCAGCCCGGAGGCGGCCCCTGCCCTCTCGCGCCTCTAGCGCCGAGCCCCGTGTCCCCTGAGCCACGGACACGGTTCAACAGAGGCAGAAACACGTCTCGCAAATGTGGGGACAAACTGTTCCACTGTTGGATATAGGGTGGTTTCCTTGGTGGTCACGGATTCTTTCTCAAAACGTGAAGCTTCCAGGAGCACCCCTGTCTCGGCAAAGCCCCCGCGCGGCCGATGAACCCCGCGGGAGGTGGGATGCGACCGCTGGGCTGAGCACGACCCTCTGCCCTCGCCGTGAGGTGATGCTGAGGGAACCGCCA